AGATTAGCTCTTTCTTCAAACGGCTTTATAATTCGAAGCAGGCAGACGGAGAGGGCTGGGGTTTTATGTTTGTTTGTTTACATAATTCAATTTCAAGGGAGCAGGGTTGACAGGCCTGGTAACCTTCAGACGTCCTCTGGGGCGGTCTTGGGGGCAGCAGGGAAAGGGGAAGAGAGGGAGATAGGATTAGGTCAAAGGTCATCAGAATGGGAGGGCTAGCTGTTCCATCTGTCAGGCTTTTGGCTGATGATGTGTTTGGCACTCTGCTCCAGTTCGCCTCCTGTTGCTGACTATGACTGAGGCTTTCTACACACTGACAAACAACACAATCCTGCTAAACAACTGATATACATCACAAACATACATGGAGGACTCACAACTTGCCATGTCTTGGCATTTCTGTAGCTAGTAGAACATGACAACAGAGCAGCCACGGTAATGAGTTCCCAGGAAATACACATAAATACTGATAAAATGTGTGCATTTGAAGCAATTGCAAAAGGAATAAATACAATGTAAATGTCTTGATGCAGAGATTTAGTTCATGACATACTGTACGCTCAATTTCATAATGCACTGCTATGAACTGAGGGAAATGGTTATTTCAAAAAGAAACATATCTTTAAAAAGTAACTAGAAAATGGTTTCATTTAATTAAAAACTTTCAGACAATATTTACTGTATTTTGTGCCAGTTAGGGATTATTACATGCTGAAGTTATTGCTATAATGAGGACAAAATTAAGAGAAATGTTGATTTAAAAAATATTACTATGTAATTTAGTAGAGAAAAAGTATATTGGGTCGGGTGACCTCGAGACCAGACTTGGGGTCCTTTCCTGGTCATTTCACGATCTCTACTTATCTAAATAAAGTCAAAAGAGCCTACAAAACATATAAATATATAAATTATGTATATAAATATACATAAATATTTGATGTAAGTTAGTGAAACTATTTTCTAGTTATTTTTTAAGATAGATAAGTGTCAGACTTTTGGACCCGTTTTGCCCCCGTAGTTCTTCCTGTGTTTCCTTATATGGTCTTTTTCCTGTTCTTGTTTAGTTTGATTGCATTATGATTCCTTGCACCTGAGTTCCTTATTATCCTGTGTATATTAGTTCCTGTCTGTTCCTTAGTTCTTCGTCGGGTCTACTCGTTGTGAACGTCTTCCTTGTGCTCTGTGTCTCTCTGTTGGATTATTAAAGACTCTCGTTTTGTGAAATCTCCATGTCTCTTCGTTCCTCCCGTAAGCAAAATGTGCAGAAAATAGTTGAATTAAAATGAACTTTCGCCCAATATTTGTGGATGCTATACACGTGCCAGTTGCAGCTTAGCATCATGCTAATGTCAGACATTTTTTGCGAGTCCCTCGTGAGCTGCTGTCTAAACGAGCATTTTAATTCAGATACTAATAAGATTTCATTTGCAATATAGCTACCTATGCAGATGGTAGACCGCTAGGCAGCTCACTAGGGTTTGAAACAGAGCCAATCAGTGTATAACAATGTGACAAATCATAAGACAAAGTTTTTCATGGTTGCGATCCAATTAAAATGCAAATACATGTAGATTTCTTGCAATAATGGCAATTTACTAAATTTTATCCCATTAATTTGTAGTTAATGTTCAAAGCACATTCCCAGTTAAGTTCGCATTTTAACGAATGAAATGAACATTGATTGTGGTGTTTGATAGTACATCAGAAATTTGCTGAGATCAAGGGGCATTGTGTTGGAGATCTGGGTACCCAGTGTTTCAGAGGCTGGACAGAGTGTGTTCATTATTCACAGTAATTGTGGCAGAGCTGAATAATGTCTCAAACTGTCTCTGTGCGGCGAGGTTAATTATCATCGAAAACAGATGCCTTGAGCTTGAGTAGCAGAGCGTTGGGAGAATAACCAGAGCTGTTGTGTAACAGTCATTTTCTTTTGTTGCTCCGAGTCAACCAAGCTGTGTAACCGCAGCGGTGCGGAGACCTTTCCGAGCCAAGATGGTCGGGTTCAAACTGTTGAACCTGTCAACCAGCCTCAAGGCTTGAGGGGAACGCTCTCAAAGAGAGCCGTGACAAAGCAAGTGTGGCGTACTGAGAGCTACCTGTCGGAGCGATTCTACACGCAGGACCGTTTGTGACGGGTGCTGTAGAACGGATGTGATGTTGTGTGACCGTAAGGGTTGAGGGAACGTTAGTAATCACAGGTTATGGATAAACCCTTTTGAATATATGTCACCATCTGAGACTTTGTGCAAATTTGGTATGAAAACAAATTGCCTGTTCATTTACATTTACCCTCGGTCTGAAGTACCAGGGAGTAATTGGGTGTTTCTTTGTTTCTTTGGGCATTTTATGTTCCTAAGATTGGAGTTTTATTAAAACTGATTTTTTTTTTCAACTTTTCAAATGCCTTTTTATTGCCCCACCCTTGTGCCAGACACAGACTTTCAATCTTAAATTGTGAAAATGTATTATAAAAGTATGAATTATTACATTTACATTTCCCATTTCCACCACAACCAACAATTTTCTCCTCTTAAGATTTTTTTTTTTTTTTTAAATCAAAAGGTATCTTGTTCTCTTGTTTACCAAGAAGAAAACAGTGTCAGTGTTTTCAGGACATATGAGAAATGTGAGGAGAACAAAGAAAAATAACAGAATGAACAGAGAATTTTTATTTATGTGTCCGTTTCTAGGTGTAATTCATTTCATTTTGTATATATATATATATATATATATATATATATATAAATTATATATATAAACGCTATGAAATTATCCTTAAATAATTTTTCAGCCATTTTATTCTTAAAAATACTGTATATAATGCCATTTCCATCACAAAATGCTATGAAACATATCGTTTGAAACGTGGTAGGAATGACAGTGGGGGAAATGTTCATTTCAGGAATTCATTTACATTAATTTCAGGGAAAAAAAGTGACAACATTTACTTCTACCATGCAAGCAAATTAAACTAGTGAGTGAAAAGTATGTTTTAAGAAAGTCTTTTTTAAAGAGCCTAAGCACTCAGTTCTGGCATGGAAATAGATGTCAAACAGTATTCATCTTCATGTTTTGCCTACATACCGCTGTGACAGAAAGGCAGAAGGGTTAGAGTAAAGTACATTTTTATCCTCACTACGCAGCATCTATCTGTGTTCCTCTGTTTTTGCTGTGCTAGATGGCAGATCGTGACAGGTCCATGCGTCTTACTTTTACAGGCGGCACCTGCACTTTTTTAACACACTGGATTGTATTGGCGCAGAACAGCTCAAGTATTTGCATCTGGACTCGCCCATTCATCACTAATGCAGGTGCGTCAGGGTTTCTGGATGCCCCGGTCAATACAGCACCCATCTCCCAAGGCATTCATCAGCCCAGCCACCAGTTGGCAAGGAGACGTTTGTGTGATGGAGGGAGGCGGCTAAAACAGTACTTTAAGCCACTTTAATGGAGTGTCTTTTTCTGGCTGGATCTCAGAAGGGGCATATCTGTCTGAGTCAAATGCGGCAACCCTTTATTTTACAGTTGTCTGCAGGAAGGCAAAGTGATAATTAATGTGGTGAATGTGTCTCCAAGTGTGAAAGCAAGGGTGGAAGTGAAAGTGTACATGTGTGAGAGTGTGAGTGAGAGTGGGAGCGAAGTTCTATGTGTGAAATTGAGTATGAGAGATAGAGAGACGGGCAAAATGACCAGACACCTATAGTAAGGTACCGTAGGTGTAGAAGAGGATCTTTCTCAGGTCTTGCCAATGGTGTCACGACAGGTGTGGCATCCTTTATGTAGCTCTAAATGTAATTCTGCCTTCACCTCTGCTATATACATGAGTAAACTTTAGCTCAATACTGTGGTGGGCTGGTTGTCAATTGTGGGGGAAAAAAGCAAAACAAAACAAAACAAAACATGCTTATACAGGTGTTGAGAAATTAGCTTAGCAACATTTTAAGGTTAAGCTTCTTGAGCACTTCTCATTCATTACAGCTTAGAAAAAGTGTCTCAAATCAAAAGAAAGCATTGTATCCATTCTGGGGCTCAATCAATGCCATTCAGGGGCTCATTTTCAGTGTCAAATGAGGCTTTATTTTGGTTCTAATACTGCATTAGAAGGTAGCTGGATATTAACAGAATAAGTTTATTAGTTTGCCAAATTTTATGGAGTTTCTTTAAAATTTTGGTTTGTAGCTACTTGCAACTAAACAACAATTTTTTTTGTTGTTGTTGTCTTTATGTTTCACAGAGAACGTTGCGAGTCCATTTGTTACCAACAAGAGTTACCATTTGTTGCACACTGGTTTATTATTGTGCTGCTTTAAATTTCATATTCCCTTAATGTCACACACAAAATGTCCGTTACAAAAAAAAGTAACACCTGAAAGTGCTTTATTCAGGCTTGCTCATAGTATCAGCTAAGTAATCTCAACATATTTTGCTCCAAGATAATTATAATTTGACCTTAATATCCAGTATCTAATATAAAGAAGAAGAAGAAAAAAAAAGAATCAATCCCTGGGACATAAAAGCACCTAGCTGAGGAAACACCCACGCACAAACAGCTGCAGATGTTTCAGTGTTTACTTGAAAATATGAATGAGTGTACAGTGAATTGGTTGGTGGTTAGATGCCTGAATTCAGCTCCATGATTCACAGTGAGAGTTGCAGTGTGTTGTGGACCGAGGCACAGGGCACTTAGACAAACGAAGGCACGCGAATAACAAAACTCATTTACTTGCTTATTTACAATTAGAATGAGAAGGAACATGTTTGGTGGCTGCCTGTTTCTCATGCTCATTATTTTTCACCACTGGGTGAACAATGGAAAGTAAAAAAAATGGAAACAAAATAATAAAAAATGGATCTGTCAGACCTTGCCAATCACTATCCATACTGGGGCTCAATCAATGCCATTCAAGGTTTCATTTTCAGTGTCAAAATTATGCAAAATAAAAAGAGCAAATATAATCAAGTGAAGACCTTTGAGTGTTGTGTTAAAAAAAATCACTCACGTGGGATTTTGTGCAGTTCATTCATGAACTTGTCTTTGACTTTGGAGAACATCTCATCTTTGGTCTCGTGGGGACCGGGTCCTGCTGCCTCTGTGCTGTTGCCCGATACCTCAGGCGCCGCACTAGGTGCAGGGTTTCCCACCAGAGCCTCCCTTCGACTCATCGCTGGATGTGGCAGCCAGGCAGAAGCTAACCCAGGAAAGACAAAAGAGGGTTACCCATATTATCTGGAATATTAATAAGGAAAAATCAGGTGCACATTCACAATTCTTCCAATACCTTTGTATGTTGATAAATGTATTCCATAAGGATTTGTAGGTGCCAACAAATATGGCATGACAAATTTATTTTAGACAGCTACAGGACAATAGTGGGACTTTTGATTCATTCCACTGATTTGAATCTTTTGATTCTGTTAACCCTTTGAGCGGTACGGTCCCACATATAGGATTTTTATTTCCGTGCCCTTGGGAGTATGGTCCCACATATGGGATTTAGAATGTTCGGTGACGTCACATAACTGCCAAATTCAAACTATGGTTTCGCGAGTTGGCTGACGCTGAGCCAGAGAGAGATGTGCACTGCGCATCACAACTATGCAGTGTTCTTAACCACATACACAATATACATATTTTAGGTTTCAGACATTTAAATACACATAAGTACTAGTAAAACAATACATTTATGGAGTTTGTAAAATACACACATATGTCTATGGAAGCAACAATAACAATCCATTCAAATTTAATTTGCCGATGTGTTTTATTCATATCAGATACACATAGTGTAAGTAACTATAAAGTTCACTCTATTCTTCACCCAGTTCACTGGCCACTTATTACTTGTATTTCAGGAGAAATTGATGAATTCACGTGCTGCAAATCCGACTGACAGGACTCTCTGAACTGCGGCGCGAACAGACATGGCGGAGCCCATCTCACGTTACAGATCACGATCAAGATCATTTAGAAAGGTTTTTAAACGACAAAACACACTCATTTACACATATTTGTGAATCGGGATATCAGATTGTTCATGACATTGTAAGCAAGTTTGTGAATATTTTAAATAAAAAAGGAAAAACTACATAAAAGCGATCCATCTGTCATACAGTGTTATTCAGTGTGTCACGTGACAAGCATGACGCGTCGCCATGGAAACAGTAAGGGGAAACGTTCTAAAATAACGGTCACCTTAAAAAAAACTCACTCTGGGGGGACCACTAGAATATTTTGAACTCACCACTGAAAGGGTTAAACAGAGGTTTATTCAGACTCATCCCAGTGAACGTTTTTGTAGGTTACAGCAATGAACATGTAGGTGGCACCAATGAGTGTCTGAGTATTATAAGCGAGTCACTGAATCATTCACTCAACTGTCACTCAACTAATTTCGAATTCCACTGTTGAAGCTAACAGCCAAACCTCGATGAACAGGAAATGCTCTCATGTGGAACTGAATGAACATGCCCTATTTTGTTTAGTCATTATTGGTTAGAAGATTCTTGTTCACAATTGATTATTCATTAATGAACAGAATTATCTTATATAGTGAGTCTAGTTCAGACACAAATCACTGTTTTTTTCAGTGAAGGGGTGTATTTGTTAACATAGCTTGTTCAAACAATGAACTCAATACTCTTTCACAGGCCACACAGGAAATTGCTCAAGTCAAAGCAGTCACACACTTTACAAAGGAAAACCAGTGCATGAAGTGAACTTAAGTCGTTCACTAAAATATTAGTTCAAAAACACTGGGCTGTTCACAACACTAATGGGGGATATAGATAGAAGCAGATAACGGGTCAGGAAGTGAGAGATGGAGTGAGAATGAGAAAGATGAAAACTCCAGTGTGTGAGCGTCTAATTTAGTGTGTGAGGAAGGTGGAGAATGAGGTGTGATTTCAACGGGAAGCCTCGACTGCAGCATGGACTGAACGAACACGCTGTGAGGTGTATTTAGCTGTTTAAACATCCTCCCATCCATCCTTCCTAATCTCTCGCTTGCGTTTACTCAGTCCTCTGTTCATTTACTCACTCGCCTGCCTACAGACTCTCTCTACCTCACCAGTTCATGTGCAGTCAGTGTTATATCTCTCTCGCCAGTACCGGCATGACCCCAGGAGGTCCTGAAGGCCCACGGTAGGTCGTAGAATATGTGCTGATGAACAGCGAGCAGACTGTGAGCCTTGTGCTCTTCTAGCCACAGGACATGTAAGATCTGCCCATTCCCACACAGCTGGTGTCGCTGCCATTGTACCTGCTCTGTAATTACTGCCATTGTCAATCACACAGATGGAATAATAATAGATGGAATGAATGTGGCAGGTATGAAACCTCAAAGTTTAGAGCAGTCAGAATGAACTTGCAGTAAGTTTAATTAGACTTTCTATTGGGTGGAACAGCTCTCCTCCCTTCTCTGCAGGTGACTGTCCGGAAACACTATGAAACCATTGGAGCTGTTGTCTTGAACAACAGCTGTTGTCATCGCTGTGCTCATGTCACTATGGTGACAGCAGGACTGATGCGTAGTGGGTTTCTTTTAGTTTGAGAGAGCGGGCAAGGGCAAACTAGAGATGTAATTTCAGAAAATGCTTTAAAAACATTTCAGAAAATGGGGTGCTTGGTGTTTGGTCTGACATTTTGTATGAGCTATCAGTATCAAAACAATGGCCAGTGCCTGATCAGTCTTCCGTCTTAGACACATAACAGCTAGATAACCAACTACAAAAATCCTATAGAAACTGATTTTGAACAGCTGGATGGGTAACCAAAGCTAGTGTGGCATAAAAAAATCACTTTTGATTTACATGCACTAACCGTCTCAAACTCCATCTTTGCATATGCTGTGAGTCTGAGTTGCTTAAAACATTCATCTGGGAACACTGTGCACCATTCCATCAGATTTATAAGGTACTTGGGCAATCAAGATGCCACCGCAAATGGCAGCCACGGCGCTGAGCTCCGCAATTCTTCTGCTGTTTTTGTTTGTTTGTTCTGTGTTTAGTCATTCTTCTTCTATATGTTTTACCAGAGACGAACTCCTTAACATTAAGCAACACATCCCAGACTATATTTTTCCGGTCTTTTGATTATTCAGACGTCTTGATGGACATTCTAGTCTGAGGTGCAGCGGTGCTGTTCAAACGCACATACAGATGCAGACGAGGGAAGCGTGTCGGCATTCTTCTCCTCAACTCTGCTGCATTGTGCTTCACTGAAACCTGGCTGAGTGAAGCAATTGCGGACAACGCACTTCATCTGCTGGGCTTCCAGCTGTTCAAAGTACGCATCTCTTTTAATCATTTTTTGGAGATTTTAACAAAGCAAGACTTTCCCATGGACTGTCAAAATACAGACAGCACGTTACATGTCCCACTCGAGACAGTAACATATTGGATCACTGTTAAACCACAATAAAGGATGCTTATCACCCTGTCCCACAGGCAGCTTTAGGGCTCTCTGATCACTGCCTAGTTCATCTCATACCAACCTTTCAGACAAAAACTGAAATCAACTAAACCTGTATTAAGGACTGCTAAAAGATGGACTAATGAAGCAGAGCGGGATTTACAAGCCTGCTTCGACTGCACTGATTGGAGTGTTTTCGAAGCTGCAGCCACCGATCTGGACGAGCTCACAGATACTGTAACGTCATATATCAGTTTCTGTGAGGATATGTGCATTCCTACCAGGGCATTCCTATCATTCAATAATGATAAACAATGGTTTACTGAGAAACTCAAACAGCTTCGTCATGCCAAAGAGGATGCTTACAGAAGTGGGGATAAAATCTGATGAACAAAAAACAGACTAACAAAGGAAATCAGAGTGGTTAAAGATAGCTACTCCGAAAAGCTGAAAAACCAGTTTTCAGCCAACGAACCGGCGTCAGTATGGACTGGTCTGAGGAACATCACCAAGTACAAGACACCACCTCCGCAGTCTGTGGAGAATCAACAACTGGCTGACAATCTGAATGTGTTTTACTGCCGGATTGAAAAGCCCAGTCTCACACCCCACCCCCGCTCTGATCTGCACTTCACACATACACCTACCCCACCTGCAACCCCCCTCAGGCGCTGCTGAAACAGTTCTACTCGGCCATCATTAAATCCGTCCGTCCTGTGTTCATCCATAACTGTAGCTGAACCAAACCAGACATTAAGAGACTACAACGGACAGTCAGGACTGCTGAGAGGATTATTGCTTCCCCCCTGCCCAACCTCCAAGATCTTTACACCTCCAGAGTGAGGAAAAGGGCTAAGAAACCCTTTGGACTTTTAGACCCCACACACCCAGCCCACTCTATCTTTCGGCACTACAAAGCACCGACCACCAGAACAGCCAGGCACAAGAACAGTTTTTTTCCCACAGGCTATATTCAGTATGAACAATTAAAACTTTCCATTTAATACATTGTCCATTATAACTGACACATTTATACATAGCATCTAAAAAATTTTATCTTTGTAAACTACATAAACTGTACACTTGTAAATAACATATCTGTACATTCATTAAAACAATTATATGTTTTTTCTCTATATTTCTACTTCTGTATTATATTGCATTATTTCATTTTCTGCTTTTCTTATATTAGTGTTGTATTTCATCTCTACTGTGTAATTCCTATGTATGTGTGCGTCATGTATGTTTGCAATATGTCTGTACTTTCTTCTGCACTGGAAGCGCCTGTCACCAACACAGTTTACTTGTGTGTAAACATACTTGGCAATAAAGCTCTCTCTGACTTCCGATTACTTGATTAATACTCAGAATAATCGACCAATTACTTGATTACCAAAAGAATCGTTAGTGACAGCTCTATTCACAACATATCTTTTTTACTGGGATATCCTCCACCTCAGTATAAATCGGAGTACCATAGTATTAACAGTAGATGCCATCAATGTACCGTATTATAGCCACAGCACTTTTTTATAAGGGATAAAGATGTTGACTAACAGCTGGTCAAGCCTGTGTTCTGCTGGCCGCAAACTGATGCTAATGACTTCACCACACCCTAACCAAGCTGCAGACTCTATGGGGAAGTGTTTACATATGTACACCGCAGCAGCTGTGTGGTCTGCTGACACAATAGGGTGTGAAGAGCACAGGATTCGACAGCTGTGTCACTCACTAGTTATGGCTAGCTTTGGTTATGCATCTTAATTCAGTTCAAAATCA